AGATGTGTAGTATTTTATGGTGATAGATTAATTAAAAGAAGTTTAACATTGTTCTGTGTATATTATTTGAATTTCTTCAATTTCAAACGAACGGCCCCTGATTTTCCTGTAATTTTTGCAGTATTTCAAATGAATATATACCCATATAACTGTCTTCTAATCGGATTAAAATCTGGCTGAATTTTGGCCGATATTAAAAAAAGGTTTGGCCGAATTTGGCCGTGAGATGGCGTGTGTTTGGCCGTGAAGCCTGTCGATTATCTGGCAACCCTGGTCTAGTTGTCCGATATCTGCGATATAGGTGTTTGGACGGAAGTACGACTTAGACCTAGTTTTCGTTCAAGAAATGTCTGAAAATATAAATTATACCGTAGGGTAAGCGGATAAGCCTCACTAGTAATCTTATCAGAGAACTCACTAGTCCTAGTAAGGTAAAGTAGTTTCCATTTTCGTACATTTCAATAGGCTAGCCAGCTAGCCCATTGCATGGAACGGCAATAAGTCAAAACGGCAAGTCCAAAAAGGGCAATAGGCCTACTACTAGCCCTAGGCCTAAGAAGGGCGTGTTTCTGTTGAATAACGCCAAAAACACGTGTTTTTTTTTATATAAACGGTTAAATTCCTTCTGAACGCGTTTCTAGTGAAAAGTGCAACTAATAAAAACACGGTAATGTGCGAGCATTGGCAGGTGGGCGGAGCTTAAATGACGGTCACAAACGGAAGTTGAAGCTGACCTTACTTTTGCGGGCTGAGGCTATCCGCACTGCCGCAGTGCCAAAAAAAGCTGCTGTTTTCTATCGGCACTGCCGCAGTGCCAAAAAGCTGATGTTTTCTATCGGCACTGCCGCAGTGCCAAAAAGCTGCTGTTTTCTATCGGCACTGCCACACGGTCAAAAAGCTGCTGTTTTCTATCGGCACTGCCGCAGAGTGCGAAAAAAGCTGCTATTTTCTATCGGCATTATTGCCGCAGTGCGAAAAAGCTCCAATTTTCTATCGGCACTGCCGCAGTGCCAAAACACTGCAGTTTTCTATCGGCACTGCCACTCGAAAGCTGCTGTTTAATTATCAAATGGATGTTTTTATCTATAGATTATGTTATCAATGGTTAGGTCTAGCCTAGCCTATAATATTGTTAACATTATATTATATATGTTTTACAATTAAATTATAATTATTTCTAATTATTAAATATATACATAGCCTATATCTAGCCCCATACATAAAACAAAGAATAAAACAACAAAAATTTGAAAGTAAAATAGTAGTAGTAATAATAATAATAATAATAATAATATAATAATAACAGTGCTCAAAATGAATAAA